TTCCATTGAAAAACCTTTGCCTAGGTATTGAAGAACAAAAGGAGAATGAAATAACTTATACATTATTTTCTTAACACTAATAAGCAGGTTATTATTATTAAATCTCATAAAGTAGTGCATGTGAAACCAGTTCAACCAAAATTTCTGAGGGTTTTCACTGCCCTAGGGCTCCCCAACGCTTGGAGATGCCACTCTCTTGAGAATGAACAGGACGATTTTGGGTCCGAAAGCAGCCCTTTTGAGAGGGAAGCGCACTTGAAGAACGTGCTTGTCCACAGAATGACTCTTTTCCACAACGGGGGGCTTACTTGCATTGTCGCAGACAAATCCAAGTGCCAATGAAGATGGACAAGCCAAACACGATGAAGAGTGTAATTGCTTGGCTGGACACCAGTGAGGTGCGTTCTGACACCTCACTGGGAGTTGTTGATATTAATGTCCTTTCCTTGTGACACCTCACTGGGAGTTGTGGGTAATATAAGCACACTTTCATCCATTTCTGAAACAGAAAAGGGTGGGGGGAAGAAGTGAAAATGTTACATTAGTCCAATGGAAATGATTCAATAATACTTGCGGCTGTTAGTTATTTGCCCTGATATTTAGAATATTTTTCCATTGGAGCAGAATAGAAAGAAGTGGTTTAATTTTGCTTTTCCCCCATTTCTATCCCACCTTTCCTTTATATCCCATTTCCTTTATATCCAACCAGTGTGAAGAAAGAAAGATTGTTGTGTCAAAGCTAGGGAAAGCCCCATGTCCTAAAATAGAACAAAAACCTAATTTAATCATACAATATGTTGATATCCCTGTAACCTAGATAGATTGCAATACCTCTCCCTCCACCCAGCTTCCAGTTTTCTTTTGGACAACTCTTGATCCACTCAACTTTTGTATCTTCCAAGGCCAGCCCATTCCAACCAAAAAACCCAAAGCAGGACAAGAAAAGCAACAGGAGAAACCACGTCTGGGCCACCTAAAGAGAGGTCACTACCTCTCTCCCCACACAGCTCCTATCTCCCTTTTGACAAATACTTGCTCCACTTAGCTTTTATAGCCTCCAAGGCCAATTCTCCCAACCCAGAAACCCAAAAAAGGGAAAAAACAAAAACCAGAAGAAACCACAATACCTCTCTCTCTCTACACATAGCTTGTGTTTTCCTTTGAACCAGTCCTTCACCCACTCACATTTCTTACCCCCAAGACCAACTCTCCCAGCGTGCCAAATGCCTTGGAAATCCCCCCCCCCGCCTTTTCAGCTCAGAAGGGAATGGTGACCCTTTAGTGGCACTCAGCCAGTGTGGATTCCATGGGATCTACCTGAAACCACCAGGAACTAG